TCTGTTTGGCCTGTTTGGCTCTAAACCGCAGATTGACAAATACAGTGATTTCTTGGGGCATCTTCAGTTATCCCATGTTACAAGCTGTTAGCCGAGCGCATCCAAGAAGAGTACTATGTCCACCTGTGAGTCCCTCCTCAACTGACAACACTCTCCGGCCTCATTGATGAAACATTACACATTCAGTGAAATGCATCAGTTTACACTTTCTTTCTGCTAGTGTTTCATGAAAGAAGCCCAAATGCGAAGTGCTGGCTTTTTTTCCCCTGAAAAGTATTTTTCTATATATAAAACATGTCAAAAGTAAAAATTCAAATGCACAACAACATAATTTATTTCTGCAAGCTCTAATGAAAGTGGAAATAGATTACTTAGACAAGTCGACTTACATTAACATAATTTACAAAAATAAAAATAAATTAAAAATTATACACTACAGTGAAAAAGTATGGTCAGAATTGTTTTTATATTAATACATTTATTAAGCAAGGATGTATTAGATAAGTCAAAAGTGACAAAGACTTTAGCATCGTTACAGATAATTGTATTTCAAATAAATGCTTTTGAACTTTCTGTTCATAAAGAATCCTGAAACAGTGTTACAGGGTTTCCAAAAAAGAAAAAGAAAGTATGTACCTCTTAAATGCTAGGGGTTGCAGTTTTTGTGATGTACCTGATTGTGACTGCTTTTTACATTTATACAATTTTGTTTTATTGTTCTTTTAAGTTAATGGATTGTTTACTTGTTACGTTTGTTTTCTATGTGTGTTTTGTTTTGCTTGTGAAGCACTTTGGTCCAAATTTGTGTTGTTTTAAGGTGCTATATAAATAAACTTTGACCTTGACCTTGACCTAGTACATTTCTATTTCAACTAAATATTGTTTTTTTTTCTATTTATCAAAGGATCCTGAAAAACATGATCACTGTTTCCACAAGATTATTAAGCAGTACAACTATTGTCAACATTATTAGAAATGTTTCTTGAGTAGCACATCAGCATATTAGAATGATTTCTGAATTATCATGTGACACTGAAGAAAAAAAAAATCAACTTTGCCATCACAAGAAGTATAATATTTCACAATATAACTGTTTTTAACTGGAAGGGTTTTAAATAAAATAAATAAATAAATAAATAAAATGCAGCACTGGTGAGCTTTAGAGACATTAAACATTTAAAGGGGTCATATGATGTTGCTAAAAAGAACATTTTTTGTGTAACATATTTTGTGTATTTGGTGTAATGAAATGTTTATGCGGTTTGAGACTTTAGTCTTTGCAACTTTACAGATCTTCTTTATGCACCAAGAGCTTGTAACACTCCAAAGAGAAAGGAAAAATTGGGCCCCACTTTATATTAAGTGGCTTTAACTACTATGTACTTGCATCAAAAATTAAGTACAATGTACTTATTGTGTTCATATTGTATTGCAAAACACTTTTGCTGCTATTGAGGTGGGATACGGGTAAGGTTAGGGACAGGTTTGTTGGTATGGGTAGGTTTAAGGGTGGGTTAACTGTGTAATTTAAAAATGTAATTACAGAAATTAATTACAGATGTAATTACATGCAGGTATTTTTAAAATATAAGTACAATGTAAAAACATGTATGTACACACCTATTTATGCATCTGTAACTGCAGTTTAAACGCATCCATGTCCCCTCTGAGATACATAAACTGTGTAAATACATCTAAATGCT